CCGCAGAACCACTAACAATCCACATACATGCACACAACCCCACATGCAGCCTCTCACATGCAATACCCCAATAAGCCCCCACACACTACCAAACACACAATGTGACATATCCATCCACACACACAATTCTACAAGCAGCCCCCATACACAGCTTACATTCAAATGTATCATACACAATACCATAAACTACTCATGAACATATGCAATATAATAGCTCATATATGCAGGGCCCTCTTTAATGCGGGGCAAACGGGGCAGCTGCACCATGAGCTCCACTGGCCTCAACTATTTCTCACCCCCTGGCCGGTAATCCACACACTAAGGAGGCCCAACGGCTGGCCCACGCACAAAGGGCCACCCGATGGGCTTCTGTCAGCAGGGGTCTGGTCGCGCGCTGAGGCGCTTTAACAGCACGAGCGGGCCCCTTGCTTTTCGGCAGCAGGCTGGGAGGAAGGGACGGCCTTGCATCCCAGAAAGAGAGGAGCGCACAGGAAAGAAGAGTAGGCAGAGTGGAGGGGGGCTGGCCGAGAGAGCCAGACCCCTCCTCCCAACACCTTCAGCCACCAGCAGGAAAGGTAGGAAACTGGAGGGTGGGTTTTAAAGTGTAAATTTGGCGTGTGTTAGTATGCCTGTGTGTGTGTGTGTGTCATTATATCTGTGTGTGTCAGTATATCTGTGTGTGTGTGTCACTATGTCTGTGTGTGTGTGTGTGTCAGCATGTCTGTGTGTGTTAGTATGTCTGTGTATCGGCTTATCTGTATGTGTGTGTGTGTCAGTATGTCGGTATGTCTGTGTGTGAGTGTCAGCATCTCTGTGTGTGAGTGTGTTAGTATGTCTGTGTGTGTCAGCATTGGGGTGGAGGACATGATTGCATGCCTGGGGAGTGGGGACAGAGTCCAGGGGGCCCCAAGCAAATGCTTTACCCAGGGTCCAGTCAACATTAAAGATGGCCTTGCATATACGCACATATACAACGATACAAAGCAATTACAGTAAAAATAACACAAGCAGAATACGGCAGCATACACACCTCAATTTTAAAAAAATAGGACCGCACGCTACGGTACATCACAATCCTATATCGGCACAGTGCTGCTAAAAGGTTGTCTACCCCTGCCCTAGGGTATTTCACATTGTGGTATTTTAACACTTTTCATGCACTAATTCTACCACCAGTCTTTGTCAAACTTTTGGGTAGTCATTTTTTTTATTATTTTTCATACACATTCTGCTTTAGGTATGGGTTCTGAGCTCCTGTTAGATGTTACTGCCAAAGAACTTGTAATTTGAGTTGAAATTGAGAGTATTTCTTCTGATAGGCCTATCTTTAGCTTGGGGCTTATCACGCACCCCAGTTTTATTTATTGCCATGAAAGTGTATATATTTGAAACGTAGACACCCCAAGGTATTGTAGTTGAGAAAATGTATGGTTGTTTTCTGCAAGGCCTCCTGAGTACACCCATGCCCCCCATACATAGGGTAAACGAATGTAACAAACCCCCTTCCCCTCAGAAAACTGAATGGAAAATGTTAACAGAAAATTAAAAATGGACAAGTGTGTGGTATCGTTTTTAGCAATACCCAATGTAGAGTCCAGGCTGTCCAGGGCAATCAAGACAGTAAAATACTGTATCTTTTCTCTGCCCTCTCTTAAAATAGACTCTGCATCTTTTTGGGGGATTCTACTTTGCTGCAGTAGGGGGGATTTTAAAAATAAAATGTGTAGCCCCAACTCTCTCTCTCATCACCACCCAGGGAGCAGGTCCGAAATGATCTGGAGCTGAAACTGTAAAAAAGACAGTTACATTCCGAGGTTTTCTTTTTTGCACAACAAAAAAGCATTGTGGGCTGCAATCTGCATTAAGTAGATTGCAACCTTTTTGTACCAGGCATGACAGATACAGGTTTGCAGTTTTTTAACCATGTAACAATAAAATGCTTCTTTCCCTCATACTATTATTACCTTATATTTAATTTATATTCATTACCACTGTCTCCTGCTGAGAACATCAAGTGAGTTTTCAATATGTGTTACACTTGCTGCCTGACAAACCTTTCCCCAATACCCCTGTTTGGAAAGCACAGACTTGCTTCCCATAACAGGTTAAAAGTTACCAAAACTTTTTATTTGCCTTTTGTAAATAAAACATATCTGTTCTCTCTCTCTCCATTCTCAAACTACCTATCCAAAGCAGCTGCAATAAATAATTACAGGGTTTTATCTTCTCTCTCTATGCTGCTGCTCTCCCACAGAGGCTGCCCCTCCTCCCTACTTCCCCTTGCATACCACTTGCGTTGAATTCAATGAAAAGAAATGCCCAGATTAAAGTTTCCCTAATAACAGACATGCAAATTACAGTCTTTGTTTATCTCTGTCACATCCAGCACAGACTAAATTGACTGGATAGGGAAAGTGTTGTATTGTGGCACCTGATTTTAGAGAAATTTAGATATCTGATAGTAATTTTGCTAGGACAACATATCAATAAAATTAGACTTTCTATAATATAAGATTAAGTTATATTTGTCATGACAAGTATTCTTTAATGAAAAATTGTATGAAAAAGAACTTGTGCCTGAAATGGTTCCCAGCACGTCACAATAAAAAAACATACTAGAGTTAAAACAATAGACTAAAGCATAATATAGCAAGGGATCACTAAACTGGGCTTATTATCAATAGTAGCATGGGATTAAGTGTCTTTTTTTGGGTTGATCCCAATCCTACTGGATTGCAGTGTTTTCAGATAATAGTTTCCAAATTCCCCAGAAACCTCCTCATGGAATGTGGGTGTATGTTAATTAAAAGGGAGGTATGTTACATTTAAATCCTGTTTTGAAAAACTGATGCCTGAAGAAGAAAATATGAAATATAGATGGTTGGGAAACAACTTGAAATACTTTGTTTTTGCCTAAGATTAACCAATTCTGTGTTCAATCTTACATAATAGTTTGTTGGATGAACCATCTTTGTGGGTCATATGACCTCTCAATCGCTTATAATACAATTTATATTTTATTTTGCAATTGCTGTTTATTTTATCATTGTCTGGCAACAGGAACATAGTTATACCGGTTAATAATTTATGCTTTTAACAGACAACCAATACTTTTATACAGTCCCACTATTTTTCATTTTAGCCGTGTGAAACACTCATACAAGCTCCTAAGAGATGAGTTTTACATATTTCTCAATAACAGGTGTCCTGCTTGCCTTAGCTGTTTTGTATCTTGTACTATACTAAAATTATGGATTAAAAATATTGGAAAGAATCTCCCTCCTGGACCCAGAGCTTTACCTTTAATAGGAAATCTGCACATGATAAACCTTATGAGGCCATCCCAGGCACTTATGGAGGTAACCTTTTATATCAGTTTTTTTTTGTGTATATACAAGGAGATATTCGTCAGTTAAAACATACAATGTTTTAATTTCTAATGCCTCTTATTTAACTATTTAATGATCGGGGGACTTAAATATCTCAATAAATGAATGACTGAAACATTACTGGCATTACACTATTTTTTTGTTTGCTCACTTGTGATTTAATTCCTCTAGTTATGTGTAGTTACATGTTTTTAAAAATTAGATGACACTTTTGAAATTCTGAGTGGATCAATTTATCAAATGTAACTGGTTCAGGCATTTTTTCATTAAAAAATCTTTCACTATGTCATCCATGGCAGTTTTGGGAAAAAGTAATTTAACACTTTCGTAAGTAATAATGCACAAGTTATGTTGCAATGGAAACTAACAACAGGTCAAGATGCCATTATATTGAACTATTGAACTACTATTAACATAGCGCCAGCATAGTCAATGGCACTTTACAATTATTGAAGTTCAAACAAGCTTACAATCCGTGAGAATTATTATTATTTTTTTATCTTGCAGATTCCTTTTTTTTTAATTTTTATGGAAATTATAAACAACAGAGAAGACAATTTTATGCTCTGGGTTCCAACTGTTTTAAGAACTTATGTTTATCCATCCATGAGGATTTGAAGTATACTGATATACATCATTAGCTGTCTTGCTAGTAAGGTGGTCTCTGGCTAGGATTGAAATCTAAGCTTAAGGTGTGGGCATGTCCTAATGTATTTTTCTTATTAAAATGGAAAAAGTTTTTTTTAAATTTCTATTCATGGACCCCCACAGCTTACTCATTTTAATTACTCTCAAAGGATACTGGTGATAATACATTTTGTATGTAGTTTAAAAACAATAAATCTGCTTATACCCACAAATTTAGATGCATTTGCCAATTAATGGATTGGCATTGGTCAATTTATTGTTTAACCTTGTTCAATATAAGAAAAACAACAAAGAGAAAATAGGTAACATGTCCCTTGAGAAAAAATGGTTGCAATTAGTTTTTTTATATTTTCAAAATATACAATTCAAAACGAATAAGGAGACAATCACAATTACTAGCTCATTACATTTTAGTTATTCCGTTCAATCAGAGTTATTTGGTGGATGGTTCTGTGTGGAGATTAAAGAGCAATCTATATTACGGAAAATGTTTGGTGGCACAGAAGGATGATAGGAGGTGCAATGCCCAGATTAAAGTTTAGCCGGGAGGTGAACTGGAGATCCTGAGAACCCCCACGGTTTTGTTTAATTGTTAGCCTCAAATTGCTATAATATTGAGAAACAAGTAATGCCTCCAACTATTGGGGCACAAGTGAACTAGTGTGAGTGCAATATTAAATGCACTTGCGCAACATCCAGGACACCAGGACCATGCCGAGATTGCTGAAACAACACTAAGTGTGCCAATTAGGTTGGCATGTAAGCCTGAGTTTTGACTGCCATTAATGTCTGAGGTTTGTAAATGTTTATTAGTATACATATACCCATAATTACTCATAGCAATTAGATAGCATACCTCCCAACAATCCTGTCTGGCACACTTAGTGTTGTTTCAGCAATCTCGGCATGGTCCTGGTGTCCTGGATGGGGCCATGGGGGAACCAAACCAGTGATCCAGCCTGAATGATCAGAAATAATGCATACATTTTGGTAACCATAATATATTTTATATATTTTCAGCTTTCAAAGCAATATGGTCCAATTTTTAGAATTCAGATGGGGAGTGTGAAAATGGTGGTTCTCTCGGGATATGAAACGGTGAAGAGCGCTCTCGTGGACAGTGCAGATGACTTTGCTGAAAGGCCTTTTGTCCGAATATTTGAAAACATTAACCACGGATGGGGTATCTACGTTATTATAAATGAAAAAGCTATCAGTTGTACTATTACATATGTTCTTTCTCCTTAGCATGGTTTGACATTTTCAAGGATTTATTTAAAGCATTGTTGTAATAAAATTAAAAACAATATCTTTCAATGTATTGGTTAGAAGGCTACAACCTTTAAACCCTCTTTTCATTCAATGGGTGATGAATGCATGACATATCAGCAGCAATACATGCTTCTCCACAGCCACACTTCTCTCTATATATAAAAGGAGAAAAATAAATGTTTTTTAAAAAGTGCACTAGTAATGTAAATACATATTAATAACAATCAAAATGATATATATAGTGCTAACATATTCCACAGTGCTGTACAAGAAAAACATGTAATTCTAACAAAACATAAATGTATAATCTATTATAGGCATTTCTTTTTCTCATGGTGAGAATTGGAAAGAAATGAGACGGTTTACCCTTTCCACCTTACGGGATTTCGGCATGGGAAGGAGTACGATAGAAGATAAAATAGTTGAGGAAATTGGTTTTCTGATTAAAGAACTTGAATCCGAAAAAGGTACTATATAAAAATGTTCACTTTTCAGCAGTTTTTACATTTCTGGAACTGCTTAGTTCCTTAGAACTGTTTCTTAGCAATTTGGAACAATATTAGGAATATAAGGTTCTGTCCATTTGTTTTGTGACCTAGGGCAGTGATTCCAAACCAGTCCTTAAGGCAAATATGATTTAGTCATTTCACAAATATGTTCCGTTCCTGCAAAACCTGGGTTGTTTGTCTGCAATTTGCAATGCAGGGTGATGCATCTGGATCACTTAAATAATGCTATTGCCATCTTCACTCATTAATGATATTGCCCTTATTACTCATAATGACCCTCCAAAGCCTCCAACAGCATCTTCATCATGAAGACTACAGTTGTGGTGAGTGATATTGTGTATTGGGGGATGGTGGCTGTAGTGGGGGGATAGGGGATATAGTTGGGTGATATGGTATACAGTGGGTCGGTAGTGGCTCTCGTGGGTGGAATAGTGGCTATAGTGGGGAAATAGGGGCAATAGTGGGGTATACGAGTATACCCGAGACATAGGGTTGATAATGTGGGGATGTGGCTGAAATGGGGGTGGTTACTGTTTGTATTGGTAAAAAAATTAAACATTTTAATTAAACTAAAAAAAATAAACTGCAGTTTATTCCCTTTTCCTGAGGCTAACTTTTTACCCCCGTGTGAGTGTAGACAGGTGAGGTAAAATCTTTGATCTCCCCTCTTGCCAGGCAGTCTTTTCTCCTGCCAGCAAGCCCAAGACCGTGGTCTGAGTGGCCATAAGGCCATGATTCCCAGCTTGGACCTTTCTTCCTAACATTCTTTTTACATTCTGATTGAGCACAGCACCAGAGGGCCCCTCCTCTTGGTGGTGGATGGAGTTCATTGTGTCATTTCCTTTTGTGTGCTTAGCTCTCATTTGTATATCATGTTCCCTACTTCTGTCTGTTTCAGTTCTCTCCTCATGCTCTCTCCTTCCAGTCGATGTTTGCCCTCTCATTATTTAAACACTCCATCTCTCAAAAATCTTTCTCTTCATAATTATATTTTGTGGGTATTACTGAAATATATGAACAGCAATTAATACAAAAAAAAAAAAAAAACTGTTTTACTCTTATGTTGTGTTAGGTATAATATTTAAAACAACTGATGTTTAATTATATAATCCTACATGTTTATCTTTAAGAATAAAATCATGATGACAATAACACACATGATGTCACCAGTGTGAAATGTGTGCATGCTCTGCATCAAGTTGCAAAATCAGGATAAATGAGAATTTGCACACGTATTGTTTGGAAATTAATTTTGTCACCATTCAAATCCTCTACAATGTAAACAGGTACTGCTAATATTTAATTTGTAAAATATAATTAATTATATTAACTTCTACGCACGTTTGTGTTTTTTTATTGATAGGAAGGCCAACTGACCTAGCTATGATAGTTAACTTGGCAATTGGAAACATAATAACATCAATTGTGATGGGGCACCGTTTTGACTACCAGAATCCCACATTACTTAGACTTATGCATCTTGTAAATGAAAATATGAGGCTGATTGGGTGTCCTTCTGTACAGGTATTTTTTTTTTCTACTGCATTGGTTATAGTGCAAAGAGAGACCTGGCACCCTCAAAATGTAAGTTGTCAAATTATATGCAAATGGTTTAACAAGTGACCTGGGTTGTGCCATGATCCGTCATCACTCCCCTGGTGCCAGGAGCTCCTGTTAGGAGCTTCCATTAGCTCCACCTAGATAAGCCCTGCTGTGTAAGGGTGCCCCAGCAGCTGTATTAAAAGCTTTTTTTTCAGTGCTAGACATTTGTCCCCAGATCAATTGTCAAACTTTTCTCAAATAGTTCATCAACTTAACCGGAAAGATTGCCAAGTTATTCCTGGAATCATCACAACCTTGAGGTGTAAGAATTATGGTGCGTGGATTGTTGCTTTAACAGCTTTTTCAAATGTTACTCTTGGTGTATATAACCGAAACAAGTTATCATTTTGTCAAGAGCCCAAATGCATGTGAATATGTGTGTCATTATTATAACTCAATATAATGAAGGTAGTATTTTAAATAATATTATAATTATTATTAGCATGTATATAGCACTAACTTTTTGCTCAGTGCTTTACAATGTTGCAAAGTTGACAACTTCACTACTGTAAATTTTCTAATACATGCTACTCTATATTTTTAGAGATATAATGTGTTCCCACTGTTACGATATTTTCCTGGTGACCATCTAAAAGTCAAACAAAATATTTCAGAGCTTCACTCCTTTCTTCAGAAAACCTTCCTACAGCATCTTAAGGACCTGGATAGGGATGACCAAAGAAGCTTTATTGATGCTTTCCTTGTCAAACAGAAAGAGGTAACTTCAAAGATAACTTTCTAATCCAAACTAAGTGATCTTATTGTGATGACCAAAGAGTAAAGTGAGTGGAAATGTATAGACAGAAGCAGACCATTTTAAAAAAATTATTGTCTATTTATATTTTGGTATAAGCTTAGTGTGTGAGTTTTTGTATGCACTAAACCTTCAATTTACTGGACACTGTCATTAAAAATGTGTATTTCTAGGTAAAAGTTATGCAAAAAATGGTATTTACCAGTATATTCTAGACTAAGATTCATTTTGGGCCAAACTGGGATTTGGTCAAATTGTAGTCAATCTAGTGGTCAACCGAAATCCCCATTTCTGAGCCACGTCTTGAGGGAACCAACATGTTTGCTTTGGTTTTTGGTTTAGAGTGCAATGGAGAATAGGCTGTTTTTTGTGTGTAGTGGCAAATAAGCAGCTTAGTTTCTCATGGTGGACTAGAGGTCTGCCTAATCATGTGGGCTAGATCTCCTGTCTAAACAAGTAGTAGCAAAAAAAAAGGATGATTGATGGTTAGGGGACAGCCACTACATATTTATTGTATTTACAGATGAAGGGAAGTGACCAATCCGGGGGAGGGTGGGGAGGTTCTGAGAGTTTGAACTTCTCTTCCTCTGCCATGAGGGCTGCTGACAACTCTGCCTCCTTCACCTCTGCCACCACTATCAGTATTAATAGTATTAGTATGGGGTAGCGGGATTAGCAACATGTATATTATGTCCTATTCAACATGCATGAGGCAGTTGATTTTTTTCCTTTCTTTTCATACTATAACAACTTGTGCTGTCACTTTTACTGGCACAGCTGATCCTTCTGCCACAGTACTTCAAGTGTTATACCGTCTTGGTTTTCTCTAATAAGCAACTAAGCGACAATGCAAGGTGCAAATTATATGGCAAAGAAGTGAATAGGGAACAAGAGAAGGGTCATCTCACTAGTTCTTAAATAAAGCAACAACTACAAAGATAAACAAGTCTATATTACTGAGAGAATAAGCAGTAAAAGAAAGTATTAGGACAGGCAGCAGGATCAGGTGCTATCTGATCCTGGACAGTTGTCACAACCTACCACCAGTGCTACCTTCTACACTGCTTATGCAAAGCTTCCCCATACATCCAGTATGGTGGTTGACTGTCTTTCAGTGTAGCAAAAAACAGTGCCCTATCATCAGTGACATACTCACAATCCATGGGGCCCCGGTGCGAAACTGATCCGTGGGCCCCCCCTCCCTATTCCCCCCACTTCCACCTGACACACACAGACACACATACACACACACATATATACACATACAGACAGATACATACAGACACATACACACAGACACACACATACATACAAACAGACAGGCACACATATATACATGCAGACAGACACACACACACACACAGACACATACATACAAACTGACACACACAGACACATACAGGCACACACACAGACATACAAACAGACAGACACACACACACACAAGACGCACATACATACATACAAACAGACACAGACATACAGGCAGACACACGCACACAGACATACAGGCAGACACACACACAGACATACACAGACAAGCACACACACAGACAGACAAAAACAGACACACATACATACAAAGACATACAAAGAAATACAAACAGACACACATACATACAGGCAAACACACACAGACAGACACACATACAGACAGACAGACAGACAAATACAGACACGCATACATACAAACACACACACACAAAATGTTTAAGTCACTCTCCTGTTTTCTACCTTTTAGGTGCAGAAGGGTGACTGGGGTCCAGTGGTGGCTCAGGTGGATGGGAGTCAGAGTTCACACTCTGACTCCCTGATCTTCCTCCCCCTCGGGCTCTCTCTATGCTGGGAGGAGTGATGTGCGGTAACTTCCTCCCAGCTCTGTGTGATCTTATCACAGGGGGCCCGGCCGCGCTGTTAAAGCGACCAGCGCTGACTGGGCCTCCTGACAATCCATATCCATCGGGTGGCCCTGACAGAATGGGCCACCCGATGGACACCTTGGACAGCGGCCCCGGCAGTTTGCCGTGTGGGCCGGGGCCGCAAAAGATGATGGCGGGTACACGGTCGCAGAGGGCCGGTTGCAGCTGCGAGCCATGTGAACGCGGTATGTACGCTTATTTGTACGCTATTTGTTTTCCTAAAAATAATAATAAAAATAGCATAAATTCTATTTTATGTAATCTCGTAACTCACTATTTAGTGAATACAAGCCAGTGTTGCATACACATTAGCTACTATGTCTCTTAATTTACTTTATTTTACTAGTAAAATGATGTGCTCAAATGCATCTTGAACTTGATATGGTTTCTACATTTCATATTAAAGACAAAAAAAGGAATTAGAGGCACACCCAGAACATTTGCATCTCATATTAAGTCATACTTTAATATATAAATATGAATCACATTGTGACAAAGTATTTGTATACCTTTGCATGTCATAATAATTTACCCAAATTGAACTAATATATATTCATGGCTAATTATCATTTGATCCTTCTTGTTTATTTTCAGGAGGAAGCCAATCCCAATTCTCATTACCATGAAGCTAATTTACTAAGTGTCATTACAACTTTGTTTAGTGCAGGAACAGAGACTACGGCTTCCACAATACGATGGGCCATTTTTTTCATGGCAAAATACCCTGATATTCAAAGTAAGAATTCTTGAAATTTCACTAAAAAAACAATGATTCAGTTAACTGGTGATAAAATTAGTTCTACCTCTAGAGTGATAACAGATGCCATTCAATTTTCTTAGTGCATCTCTTGGTCAGCGTGGTAGCTCCTATCCCTATGTGTTAAAACTGAGCTTAATGGCTGCAGGTGCAACTTCTTACTGTACAGTAGATTGGTTAAGCCTGGGTCTCTAAAACTTCAGATGTTACGAAATAGCTGCATTCCAGAATCGGCAGATATCTTCTGCACTGAATGTCCTCTCATTTCCATGAGCTGGATTTGAATTAGAAGAGTGGAGGCTGCTCTTCAAAAGTTGTATACCAGAGGAGAAATACCACTTTTCAAGTTCAAAATTTACAAATCTGTATAAAACAAAATATAGAAGAAAAAACAAAACAAATCAAATATAGAGAATAGTATATATTTGGTACACTGCATGGTTACTTACATTTAGGAAATAGCACTATTTGTTAAGATCTGTAAATGGATCTCTTTCCATTTTGGACAGAGAGAGAGAAATACATGTCACCAACACACATAAAACAATAGAACTATCAAATGAATGTACAAAAGTAGAGACTACAAAGACAAACAGAAAAATAAAAAAGTGGTACATAGAAGGACAACCGGTGAACCAGCATCAGGATCATGAGCGCCCAAGGCTCATTAATGCACATATGAAGCAGAGGCTAGCTGTCCGATTACACAGAAGAGCTGATGTAGCTCAAATTGGTGAAAAACGTAATGCTGGCCAAGATAGAACGTAATCTTGGGAATTCACTTTGGGATGAAAAAGTTTCATCAATTTGTCAATTTTTGTCCAAAAGAAGAATGCAAATGGCTATGAATGAAACAAAGAACAAATTGCTTAGTAGGTGAAATTTCATTCTTGCAATTCATTCTTTCATTGCTCATTTAGTTACAAAAAGGGAGCTACTGGCTGGCCTCATGCCTCATGCCCTCCCTTATCTTAATGTATAGTACTATGGGGGTCAATATGACCCTCATATTACTATAAGGAGGATAAATCCTCCCTTATTCCACAACCCACCATGCAGTGAGTAGGGGCATATCTATTTAACTGCAGGCAGCTGGTGGCTGCTCACTGTCATAAGAAAAGACTAGTGACTGGGCAACTCAGTGGGCAGGAACTGTGGGGACCCTTTGTTCCCTTGTTCATTTTTTTTAATAGACTCCCATTTGTGGGGACATTGTGGGGACACTATTCCCCCCAGCTAATATTTTTTTATGTGACCCACCATGGGGGATATGTGCCAAGTCTACCTTTATTGGATTAGCAACTGTCATGGTGGGTTGGAGCAATTTAACTTACTTTTTTTTACTAATACTTACATATGAAAAGGAATGGCTTTTTGTAATTTTGGTCTTTCAGCTTCTTAGTAGGTAGCTCCCTAATATTTATGAAGGATTGCCATAAGGATACCAAAAAGAGCTACTAAACAATTCTCTAATTTGATACAATTAAATATGGCAACCCTACAAGTGTACCAATTTATAGACTTTTCTGCTAAACAGCTGGAAGATGAAGCCATGGCACAGTTCAGAATTTCACTAGTCCTAATGAAATTCAGGAATTAAAATAACGTCCGAAATTAATCAAAAAACGAATAAGCAAATCAACAAAATTTGGTTTGGACGAAACTAATTGTATTTTTCGTCCGAATGCATTTGGACAAAACAAAAATTTTGGTAGCACCCATGTCTAATAGAAATAAAACAAATAGTGCATCACAACTTGCTGTGTATGAGGCTGCATAACCACAGGCTGGTCAGAGTGCCCTGGATGATTCATGTCCACCATGACAGCACAGTCAATGGGGACGTGAGAGTCAGAACTGGTACATGGAGCAGTGGAAAAAGGTTGCCTGGTCTGATAAATCATATTTTCTTTTCGACCAGGTGGATGGCAGGGTGGTGAGTGTCATTAATTGGGGACGCAATGGCAAGAGGATGCTGAACAACGTACGCTAGCAGAGGCAGTCTTGTGATATGGGAAATGTTTTGCTAGGAAAATTTGGGTCCTGGCACTCATTTGGATGTTACTTTGAGATGTACCACCCACATGGAGTTTTTTTCAGACCTCGTATACCCCTTCATGGCAATAGTGTTCCTGATGGAAGATGCCTCTTTCATCAGGATAATGCACCCTGTCACACTGCAAAAATTGTTCAGTAATGGTTTGAGGAACATGACAAAGACTTCAAGGCATTGCCTTGGCCTCCACATTCCCTAGATCTCAATCCAATTGAGCAAATGTTGGATGTGCAGAAATAAATCAGATCTATGGAGGCCCCTCATTGCAGCTAGCAGGACTTATCTGCTTATGTCTTGGTGCCAGATATGACACCTCTTAGGACATGTTCAGAGCTCTTGTGTGCCTCGATGCAATAACAAATCAGATCTATAGAGGACCCTCATTGCAGCTGGCAGGACTTATCTGCTGCATATGTCTTGGTGCCAGATAGGACACATGATAGGACATGTTCAGAGCTCTTGTGTGCCTCGATGCATCAGAGCTGTTTTGGCAGCATGAGGGGGAACCACAAGCAGTTGGTTTTAATGTTGTGGCTGATCGGTGCTTTTCATCACATGCTTCAAATACATTAATGGATTTTTTAAATTTAAAGATGTGGAGTTAATGAGAAACAGACTATTAAGATTTGTATATTCTATGGCAACATGCCGTATATAATAATTTAACAGTTACATTTATAAAGTCTTACTGATCTGTAGAATTGATGGCTATACTGACCATTGCAGATGCTGATGAACTAAATTTCCTAGAATTCTCAGCCAGGCCTCATGTCAACCATAATACCCAAGGTCTAAGATGCAGTTCAAAAACATGTAATACTGACATTAACTTTCAAAGTGCTATAGTAAATATGTAATACATATCCTAATTCAGTTGGATAAATAAGTTTAATAGGAGAAAAATATAGTTTAAAATGGTAATGTATTATTATAATTTATTTATAACATAAATTCTGTAGAGCTGTACAACAGGTGGACTACCAGGCATGTATTTGCAACAAGACAAGTTGGACAAATAGGAACAGAGGGTTTTGAGGGACCTGCTCAATTGAACTTACATTCTAGGGGGAGTGGTGTAAGGTCACACAAACCCAAAAAGTAGGTATTAGAATAGTTTACAGTGAATGGCTAGTTTATTGGATGACACAGTTGCAGGAGAGCAAGCAGGGTGCATTAGCAAGGCGCGGGGAGGGAAAGCTATTGAAACTTTAATTATATGTTTTTTTAAAGAAGAGAGTTTTTAATTAACTTTTGAAGGAATTGAGACTGGGTTAGAGTGAGTGAGTTTTTAATGACCTTTTGAAGGAACTGAAAATGGTTTAGAGTTACTGTCAGAGGGGGAGTGGGGATGTATGAGGTGCAGACAGACAGGAAGATGAGCCTTGTCATGGCATTCATGATAGATTTTAACATATGACCCTTGAAAATTAAGTTATTGTAGTCTAGGCGAGAGATGATAGTGGCACGAATCATCACTTTGGCCACATACGGCCTTCGAAAGGGGGCGGATGCTGTGATGTATGGGCGGTGGGGCTGTGTATGAGTGTGTGAGTGTATGAGTGTATGTATTGTGATGTATGGGCATTGGGCAGTTGGGCTGTTGTTGGCTGTGAATGATGCACTTCCTTTCTTTTGGTTCTTTACTTCCTGTTCCTGTTGGCAGTTGGTGGAATGTTCGAGGGATTTGAAATGGTGGCTGCAGAAACCCTGTGTAACAAGGCTGCAATATGAAGACCCTGTTATATATGTGTTAATAAAGTGAGTACTTCGTTATACAGGAATTATTGGCTTATTTGTACAAAACATCACAGATGCGAGCTATGGTTTTGTGATAGAAGTGGCAGGATTTGGCAAGTGACTGAAATTAAACGGTGAAGGAGAGGTTGGATTCAAAGAGCCTGTAAAGTAGAGTTGTGGTAGTGACACTGACTTGGAGTGAGACAGACACAGGAATAGCCACACTTGAGGCAGGAAAGATGAGAAGCTCTGTACAGGTTAAGTTTAAGAAAATGAGCAGCCATCCAGTTAAAAATAGCAGAGAGGCAGTCAGAGACACGAGTCAAGAGGGATGGCAAGAGATCAGGAGAAGACAGATAGATTTGGGTGGCATCCACATCGAAATCATATTAGAAGACAAAAGAGCGGAGGAGTGTACCAAGGTAGGCAATATAAATTGAGAACAGTAAAGGATCAAGGACAGAACCTTGGGGGTGTAAAATGTCTAGTGTTTAACCATTAATAACATTGTGTTTGATTACATTTATAACTTGCTTTTTCGAACTTTCATTAGAGCATGTACATGAAGAAATTGACAAAGTGATTGGAACATCTTTACCCAAATATGAGCATCGAGTTATCATGCCTTACACCAATGCTGTCATACATGAAACACAGCGCTTTGCAAATATTGTGCCAACAAATCTTCCTCGAGCAACTACAAAAGATATAATGTTTAAAGGTTACTACTTACCACAGGTAAGTATATATAGCAACCTAGATTGAGTCAATATGTTCCATTGTGTGTAGTGCACATACTTGTAAATGTGACAAACATGGTTATTCAAGAGCATTCAAAGTGAATTCTAAATTAAAGGCTAAAATAGTTGGAAATAGCTGGAACTGTTAACATTTTCTAAGTCAGTTATGCGTTCAGTTCCGTTACTCTGGCCTTAAATATGAAATTCACTTTAAATGCTCTTTTTAGTAAATAACCCTGTAAACTTTAGCACAAGATCTTTATCTTCTTGTAAAGAAATGGGATGATCCACTATTGGGGCAAGCCCTTCCAAAGTCGAAAGATGTTCACATTTTGAGTTGCAGTCATATTAGGTGATTCGATTTTTTAGAACAGCTGGTTTACATTGTCTGTCTATATTGCTTTACTAGTAAGGACATTCTTTAAGGGTATGTAAGGCAAACTCTGAGAAAACTTATTTAAGACATATCAGGTAATTCAGAAGAACATTGCTAAATTCTGACTTGGATGAATCTGGCAATATATCCCTCCTAGTGCCTTACACCATAATTAGCAATGGCTGTCCATGCACTCCCTTTTACATTCAAATACACTTTAGTTAATTTAGCACTATTTAATTTGCCTCTCATGTTAAAATGAGTGTTAGAACCTACCAATATAGGATCATGTGGCATAGTGATGGGCTTAACATTTTATTTTTGTGTGTGTGTGCTGTTCCTTAATTTGTATTTTGTATACATTTTGGTCTCTACGGCAGCACTATTGCTGAGAAATGCATGTTCAGAGTGTGCCCCCAATTCCCCTTTCTTCTAAAGAAACACTACAGGCACCCAGAACACTTAACCTCAATAAAGTTGCCTGGGTGCCATGTGTCTACCGATTTAACCCTGCAGCTGAAAACATTGCCGTTCTGCTGGAATGGCAATTTTTCTTTGCAAGGTTAACCTACCTACAGTGGTGCTTCAGCAAAATAGTGGCATAAAATTCCACTATATCAATCAGATGGTCTTACTGAGCCTCTCCTTGAATCAATGAAAGTATATTACCTAAGGGAAGGACCTGCTTTTTGGTTACCTCACCTAATGTGTAGTAGGTGAAAGGTCGATAATACAGCTCCCATGTAATTCACTATTGGAATGGGCCAAAGAAAAAAATATCCACTAAACACTAGCCAATTACAAGTAAAAATGTAGGTCCTGTAAGTAAAAGTTTACCTCAAGTATGTGTGACATGGATCCTCCAGGTTTGTAGTGGTGAGTAGCTTTTAAAGCCTTGCCAAGAATATAACATTTTAAATTTTAATCCTTTATGGTCTTCCTCTTCCCATTATTCATGTACGTTAAGTGACAAGTTAATATACAATTAGAGGTCCAATCAGGATTAACCTAACCTTAGGTGGCTGCCTAGGGCCAAGGAGGTACACAGTGGCCCCAGAAACATGAACTTGATTGGTGCTTTAAACATTCCTACAGGAAGAATGAAGGGGTAAACCAAAATAGATAACTTGCCAAGGGCTCTCTGTGATCGTAATCCTTCTCTTGGTAAAATAGACATAAGATCAAAGGAACAAGGCACCACAGAAGCACTTTTTTCTATGTTAAAGCTATTTTTAATCCAGCCATTGGGCAGAATATGTCTATTTTATGTTTGTCTTTGTTTTATAAATCTCAATGAGACATTAAATTCATATACAGTATTTTTGATTAAAGTTAGAGAATGCCAATTTCCAAGGGTAGATAATCTGAAATCAGAGAGACAGGAGATAAAGATACATGAACTGACAATTGTGGATTTCTGAAGTTTTACCTGAGATGCTATACTTAGCACCATTTCGCTGGTAACTATTTAACAGACTCCAAAGTGCTTTAAAGGAACACTATAGCTTTAGGAATATAAATGTGCATTACTAATGCTATAGTGCCCTAGTCACCATTTAGGACTCCTCAAGAGTTAACTTACCTTGTTTCCCACGCAGTACTGCTCTCTCCACAGATGGTCCCGCCTCCTTGGCTGAGACCATCCAGAGGCTACTGAGCATGTGCCGCAAAATGCCAAGATGCACCAATTAGATGGCTTCTCTAAGACCATCTGACTGATATAGTGGAATTTTATGCCACTATATTGCTGAAGCGCCACTAGAGGTAGGTTAACCTTTTCAGCTGCAGGGTTCTTCTTTAGATACAAGGGGAATTGTGGACACACACTGAACCTGCATTTCTCAGCAATGGTGCTGCCGTACAAACCAACATTTATGCAAAATACAGATTAAGCATCAGCACACACACAAAAATATAGTTTTACATTTTGAAAGGCTACTTACAATCACATATCTCAGTAAACCAGTACTGGATTTAGTTCCACCATATGGCCATAAAATGTTAAGCCCATCACTATGCCACATGATCCCATATTGGTGGGTTCTAACACTATTTTTAAAATGAGAGACAAATTAAATAATGCTGAATGAACTAAAATATATTTGAATTACCCATTTGTAAGAGCATTGTGAATATATTAATGCAAAATTAATGACAAAAAAACCCACAATTCGAAAAAAATACAGTGTCAAAACGACATAATTAAAATGATAGGACTTTGATGTATATACTCATAATGCATAGAATATATCTGCTCTCCATCAAATAAAAATTATTATTAAAGTGACATTGCTATCCAAAACAACCTCAAATTATACTTTACTGTGGTCACCTCCAAAGGGACATCTGAAGCTGGGGGTCTTGACTCCAAACAAATATAGAAGAAAGGGGAATTGGGGGTAACATGTGGTAACATGTACCTTTTAACATAATGAGCACACAAGTGTAATTCACCTGATTTGCCCCATTTAGAGAATACCAGAATTTCAATATTAAGTCAAATTCAGAGATTTTTGGAACTTGAAGGCCAATTTGTAGTTTAATTAAAATTGTTACCTGACAATGTTCTGAACTGGGAATGCATTGTCTAATATTTTTCAAAGTTGCCAGTATTCTTCAAAGTTCTCTAGCATATATTGGTTATATAGGGCAGCTAAACTCAATGTAGTTCATATTTAGTGAACTGAATTTATACCATTCTATTGATGTATTGGATAAAATAGCAATAAGCTAAAGTAGAAATAGGATTAGGTTTTACTCTGACATTTGTTCAGTTGTGCATTGAGAAAATGAATCGACAATAGATCTTATCCCAAACAAAGCATGAAGATTTAAACAATTAACCATGTTTTATTTAGGGAACCTATATTATTCCATTGCTTGAATCAGTTTTGTATGACAAGACTCAGTTTGACAATCCTGAATCTTTCTGCCCTGAACATTTCCTTGACTCAGATGGAAGATTTGTCAAGAATTCCGCTTTTATGCCATTCTCAGCAGGTATTATTCATCATTAAATTTAACAGAATGCCAGAACTGATAGAACACAAAACAGAACACATACCGTGTTGTAAAATAAGTTTAAAAAAAAAAAAACATGTGGCATTTATTGTGGTTTTATCATCCGGCCTTTTTTTTCTATTTCTATCCACAGTTTGTAAAACTTAATATGGGCACATATATATACAACATGAATTCCAAAAGTTCCTTGCACTCAAACCAAAAAATTCAAAGTGCCGGGTGCAGAAAGCCTGGGCCAGTCAATATAAATAATCAATAGAGAAGCTTGCACTCATTGTCTTTAAAGGTTAAAAGGTAAATATTTATTGAAGATCCATTAAAAGTATCATCAATGTTTCAGTCCACATCTGGGACTATCATCCTGGAGAAAGTCCCAGAGAAGGACTGAAACGATGATGATACTTTTAATGGATCTTCAATAAATATTTACCTTTTAACCTTTAAAGACCATGAGTGCAAGCTTCTCCATTGAATATATATATATGTGGCGAAACCGACCTCGCCACTGGGCATTGGAGAAGACTGATTGCCAGCCTCCTGCCATGTGACTATGGCCCTTGGGATGTATTGCCCTTTAAAAACTGATTTGGGCTTATGGACTTTTATTGTACAGTGCTGGCCCTTTTAAAAACAGTGTATGTACACATGGAAACTTTTTGGACCCTTTTTCTTCCCCTTTGAATCCCTGGGAAGGTGAGGCTCTTCCCCTCCCCCAGCTCCATTGTTCTCCAGCAGGGACTTGTCCCAGGGACACTGCCAGACCAGTGGGAACTGGTTTGGGAAGGAAAAGCCATGCTTGCAATTGATAATAAAGGGACCTCAACCTAACTTTTTAACCCCTGGATGGATTCATGTGATTTTTACATATGTTGCTCCCCGAGTTATGCTGATCACAGAAGTATGGGAGTGCTTCTACTGTATACTACGTGTTTATTGGTTGTTCTGTAAACCCCTGTGGGCGGTCCTGTATGTGTTAAACCTGCATAAAAGAAGGCCCTTTGGTGCCAAGTAAACAGATTCTGCTTAACCCTCAAAACGAAGTGTCGTCTCGTTATTGGGGGAATTGGATTGTATGCTGACTGCCAGGAGTGTAACCCTTTCGTATGTTTTTCCTGTTCGGATATTTCCAGTGTTCATGTGTTTCCATTTCGGGAGATCGGTGCTTACAGTAGCTGTCGGTGTATCTGGAAAGGGGAATATCGCCTAAACGGTTTTTAACCTCTGGTGAACAAAACGGTCCGTTACAATATATATATATATATATATATATATATATATAATAAAATAGATGGCTTGGCACTCTCCTTCCTAGTATTCCAAATGTGTATAATTGCCCGGGTGCAATCCGCTGTGCATCCACTATATAATCAAAAAATATATCCAGGGTGCACTCTCAGGTCTTGAGCAAAAAAAGTCATGTGCAAAATAAAGACAACCAACGTTTCGACCCCTGCGGGTCTTTTTCATTTTGCACATGATTTAATAAATCACTTTTTTTTGCTCAAGACCTGAGAGTGCACCCTGGATATATTTTTTGATTATATATATACACACACACAGTTTTGTAATTTTTTTAAAGCTTAGTGATAGGCTAATTCCTTTTTTGCAGAACCTAATTCTGGTCAGAATTCACTTGAATTCCAACTTTATAGAATGGCATTTTTACCACCCACATTTGATCCACATTTGTTCAATATATTTATGATTTTGTGCATTTGGTTACTTTTGAGCATACGGTTGCATATTTTAAGCATTTAGTCCACTTGAGTACTGGTTTATGTCTTTATTAATTAAAAGAACACAGTTGACACCAAGACCAGTTCATCTCATTGAAGTGGTCTGGTTGCACTGTCCCTGTCTCCCTTAGTCCTGCAATGTAAATAATTGTAGCTTTAGAGAAATAATGTTTACATTGCAGTAGTAAGACTGCATCTAGTAGATTTCTACCAGGCAGCCTCTCGAGGTGTTTTCTGAAGTTGTATGAAGTATGACTCCATGAAATGATGCTGGACATCCTCATGTTCTTCATGAAGACATCCAGTGTTAGAGAAAATCTCATATTAAAGAATTGCCTCAATTTGCAGCAAATGCGTTTTAGGTTCCCAAATCGAATGACGTCAGAGGAAATGGACCTCGACCCATCTCAGAGGGTCCATGGCACTGGAATCGGATAAGTACCCTATACATCACTGGAGGGGGCTCTAGGGATGAGGAACACGTTAGTTTTAGGAATACATCTTTGTATCCCTAACACTAAAGTGTTCCTTTAACAATATGATTTCTTTTTTTCTTTATTATTTTATTTAATTAATAAAAAAAATCTATTTTTTGTGCCGTAGATGGAACATTGAATGTTGAAACAAACAAACAAACCTATTTGTGCATTGTCCATATCGCTTTTTCACGAAACATCCACATGGTGTTTACGGAATACAGACAACCCACTGATTGCTCAACATTCGAACAAACTGCAATTAGATTGAAACAAAATGCACAGGTTTAGTGAGAAATTACAAAAAGAGAGAAAAAAGGACAGTAAAAAAAACTATATATATTTAATAACTGTAAAATATTTAAAATAGATGCTTACTCCTTTTTTCCCTCTCTGATTAGTTTTTCTAATTGGATCTGTGAATCAAATGGTGGGGTAACGCGCCTGTCGTAATACTGCAAAACAGACACATGATATGTATATTTTGCAGTAAACTGATTGGTCCATTTTCAAACCTTTTTGATTTTTCTGAATTATATTCTCTTCAAAAAATTTTGAAGCCAAAATGCCACATGGATGAATTTCAGACCTTCCAAACTAAAAAAATATTTCATACAAATCGATTAGACTGAATTGAATTTTTTTTGCACAAGTCTATTAAATTTTTTTTTATCCTATTATATGTATAATGGACACATGATCACATTAATGCATTTTCTACAATTATTTTATTAAAATACCCTATTCATTCATTTTTAGGAAAGAGAGTTTGCATAGGAGAAACACTTGCAAAAATGGAGTTATTCCTCTTTTTTACCAGTCTCATGCAAAGTTTCAGCATTCATCCTGCACCTGGGAACTCAGTTATCGAATTCAAGATCAAGCCGACAGTTGGATTCACCAGCTCTGCATTAGCTCCAAAGATCTGTGTTATATCACGCTCATAAGTAAACCATATCCATTAAACTGCACCTGACATAAAAATGAATAAAGTTTTACCTCTCCTTTATGCTTACTAAGTTGTTAGCAAACATGTAAACACAATTTATGTACTAAAAATAATATATGTAATGAATTACAGTTACACTGGCCAGTAAAAGGCATATATATATATATATATATATATATATTTGTGCTTGGAATTTAATACGTAATGGATAGTGACTGAGATGAAAGTTGGTTATGGTGTGCCAAAAACCAACGTACGAGTGGGCCTGTAAATAAAAGAGGGCCCACCAAGGAGAGTTGTAATGCTATAAGGGTGAAGGTGGGTGGGGACCATCAACTTGACCGGCAGAGGTCAATAGGGGCTGGGAGTTTAAGTAGGGGACTTACTCCTCCCACAAATTCAGGCCTAACGGCCTTTCTACTTGTGCTCGGAATTTAATACGTAATGGATAGTGACTGAGATGAAAGTTGGTTGTGGTGTGCTGAAAACCAACGTACGAGTGGGCCTGTAAATAAAAGAGGGCAAAGAGAAGTTCAAGTAAAAACACACTTAATTGCATTTAGTACCTAACCAAATTCCAGAAGGCTTGGCGAAGCTCTTTTTCTGGTCGTGGTATGTACGTATGGTATATGGAGGATTTCCATTGACCCAGTCTCTTGATGACGTAAACCGGGGTGTTTGTACTAGAGGTTAATGAAGCGGCTCCTATGCGGAAGCAGCGACCAGAGAACGAAGTCAGGTTGTAACCCAGTTTTGCCAGTAAGGTTCTGACATGCATCGTGAATTTAGCCGTGGTGAGTGGGTGCCCTTGTAGTAATAAGAGCGAAGAGTATGGTAAGCGCGTGTGATGAGTTGACCGTAGGTGGTCTAGTGACTTAACCGTACACCAACCATTATCAGTGGGAAAGAGGGGAATAATATTGGGGTGTAGTGAGTGATTAGTTTTGGTAGATGGGAGCGTGAGTACGTAGTGATCTTCTACCTTAGTGAGGTGTGAGACTTTTAGGCTTATTTGTCCCTTGACAAATAATGGTGAATTCTCTGGGTCTGAGGAAACTGTAAAAATCTAGATAAATTGCAGACTTGATCACCAGGTTTGTGTTGGGATCGAATGGGGATTCATCAAGTAGATTGCTGAGTAATCTAAAGATAGGCCCATCTATTAGTAGTCTGGTGGTGGTAAGTGGAACAGAAACCTTTGAGATGCCCTTTAAGACTTTCTTGATGGGGTATGATGACAAGATGGGTGTGTTGTTAGGGAAATTAGTGAGACTGTTGTGCTGAATCCCCAGTGAGGTATAGTTTAATGGTATTGTGAGAAAGTTTTAAATGTAAGTGGCAGAAGGAGGCAAAAGCCACCATGGTTTGAGTAGAAAAATTACCTTGTAATCCGAAATCTGCTGTGAATTTATTAAAGATGGTAAGTGCCCTACTGTAGGTGGCAGCTGTGTTAGATGATAGTGCTTGGTGTGTGAGAGACCTGGCGTGGTGCATTAGTGCGTTCAATCCAGGATTAGTTCATGAAACCACTGTGTCTTGGAAGGCTGACGGTGGGCCGTAGGGAGTGCCTGGAAGAATACCTGGAATTGAGAGCGAGACAGAGCTTCAGCAGCCGTGTTGCGGATACCTGGGATGTGAAAACAGACTAAGTGGAACTGGACAGTTTCTTTCCAACAAGGTCAGCTTGAAAACAGCTGCATGATGGTAAGGGTGGATGAGCGCATTGCAAAATTTAGAGACCCCAAAAGGGACTGAAGTTCCTTTCTGGTGCATGCATCATTCCGCAGGAACATGTCTATCTCCCCTCGCAAGCTGACCAATTTGTCAGGGGGAAGGCTGGCTAGGAAGGTACCAGAGTCCAGCTCGATCCCCAAGAAGGTGTAACGAAATCCCCTATTTACAGACTATACGAACAAGCCTGTTCGGTTATTTGGAGGATTACAGCGGGATTTCGTGGAAATAACAATAAATGCGAATGAACTACCAAACCACCGACCTCCCACTGAGGTCGTGTGGCGCCTATTGACCACCCTGACTGTTGCGGGTAACCACAGACTAATTGGGGAATAGCTGGTGTTCCGCGTTCACCTACCGAACACGTGGCAATCGCCATTTTGTATTGTCGAACGCACAGCGGTAAATGGTGAGGATTCCCTGGAACTGATTTCGGCTACCTATTTTGTCGAACACCGCTTCTACCTTCGCCCATCCTCGTTCATACGGTGGAAAAACACACGAATGAAGGGGTACTACTTCATTCGTGTGCTGAAAGTATGCGAAAGTGACCGACCCCAGATAGCTATAGTATGGAACTTGCAGTAGGCTGCAAACACACGAATGGCCGGTGAAAGTCAAACTTCGGTCGACGATTCTGAGAACTGTGTTCGTGGGATCTGAGCGCTATTCGCCTAGAATATGCCCTCAGATCCAAGCTATCTCGGGATATGTGGAACTTAAAGTTTATGTTGTGTAAAAAGAAAGTTATATATTTTTATTCTGTTTTGCTAAATAAGAAAAGCCATGCTTCTTTCTTCCTGGAGATAATTAAGGCTCTCTTTGCTACCTTAAGTTAATTATCTCCAGGGTGGAAAAGAGGGAGTGATTTATGTAAAAGGGAGTGCTTATGGTATAGCCACTGTGATTGGCTACTGTGTTACTTTTGTCTCAGTCTTCCATCTGGTCCCTTAGGGGAGTGTCCACCAGGTGGAAGACCTGCATAAATACCGGGAGGGTAGCCCACAGTAAATCAGATCGTTTTACCCCTTCATGAAGTCTCGACTCATGTTTGGGGGATTGGGAGTTATAATCACTTCGTTTCAGCTGGATTTCGGGAGAAGCTGCAAGGACCATCGCTACACGAATGCAAGGATCCTTTACAGAAGGTAAGTTTGTTAGTGGGGCCAATGGTTTTGGAGGGTGATAAGGGTACACCGAGTGTGGAACAAAGAGCTGAGGTGCTAAGGATATTAGTGGGTGTACGTGCGCCTGGTTCTATCAGTAGATAGAACATTTTGAGAACATTTAGAAGCAGCCAGCATAGTGTTTCTGCGAATATATCAAACAGTTTGGGGCTGCTTCTAGACCCGAAAGTGAGGCGTGTGGAAAAATAGTATCTGTCTTGCCATTTAACACCGTGCAGATGCCAGAGTGATGGGTGCATGGGTAGTAATTTGAATGCATTTGTAATGTCTGTTTTGCTTAGCCAAGCGTTTCTACTAGTGGAAATGATGGATTGCATCGTCAATTTTAACGTACTGTAATGAAAATTCTTCTGCGGGTATGAGTGAGTTAATGCTGGGAACAAAAGAGGCATGCGGTGCCGGTAAATCGATAATTAGATGGTTTTTATTAGAGTATTTGTGCACAGCTATACCAATGGGGTTAGTGCGCCAGGTGGAAAAAGGTGAGGAAGTGGAGGGGCCGATCATGAAACCATGTGAGATTTCAGAGGAAAGGAGAGTGTCTGTGGATACTGGGTCTTGACAGGCTGACAAGAGGTTGGGATATTCAAGCGTGCCTGAAGGATGGCTACGAGACCCATGAGAAAGCCCTGTGAGAACCCCATGGTCAAATACTCCACCAAATGCCTGCTTGGATGAGGTCTCAAATAAAAAAACAGGTTGTCGGTTAGTCATTTGTAAGGGGACAGTCTGGCCGGGCACATGGTCTTCGTGTGTGCCCTGAAGCAGTTAGAGCAGATGTGCAACAACATACAGGCGCTGAAGCTGCAGGACCCGGCATTAAAATTGTTGCACACCTGCGCTTTGCCTAGGAAGGCGATGTGTCTACCCAGTTTATCCTGACTACCCGCTTGTTTAATGTGAGGGGTGAAAGTAGTTTGAGGGGTGAGAGTGGAGGTGGATTGATCAGCTTTGGAGGGGCACAAATCAGCCGTATGGGATGTGGAATTACATACGGCACAAGACGGCCTCAGACCAGCGAAGTGGCGACAGAATAATTCAGTATCCATCTGACACCAGTAAATTCTAATATTAAATTGCTTCAGATGGGTCGCCGCCTTCGCTGATACTGATTTGTGGTAATCATAAAAAGATGAGCCCCCGTACTTGATGCCCAAATCCACCACTTTACGCAGATAGAGGTCTAGTTCCTCTCTTCTGTGGGGATATACCGAGCAAATTATGTTGCGGTATATCCCGAAGGCTATTACGAACTGTGGTATTGATAATTTTTTGTTCAGCCTAGGATCTCTAGTTTTAAGCACCACTGAGATATCCCCGCAGTTATATGCCCGGCACATCTTGAGAGGCTATCAGCAGTGACACCAGACACACATCCTTCCCATCTAGGATTTCTTTCCTAATGGAGTCTGGGACGGAGTGCGCTGGTGACACAAAAGGTGACGTAACTGTGGCTGGTGCTGGAGGAGGATGTATAGGGGAGAGTGGTGTTGTAGCAGAGACTGCCAGGATGGGGCCTGAGAGGCCAGAGAGGTGGATGGCACTCTCCACCTTAGATAACCTGTTGTTCAGCGTCTGCAGGTTGGCCAGGATTGCTGCAAGGGTGTACTATCTCCTTTACTCTCCTTTACTCATAAATTATGTAACTCTTCAATTTATCCAGGGGGACTATAAATCACACCTACCTACTGTGCGATTACCAAATTCTAACACAAACAGACTATCTACCAACTTGCATTAGGTTAAAATGTATGCTATCCTTCACATACAGGGATGCCCTTCTGTCTTTTCTATATAAAGAGTACCAGGCTAATATGGCTATATCCCAGTCATTTTTCTCATTATACCATTATACATTATCGTATATATCTCAGTAACAGTCACTAAATTCAAATTTTCAGTTGCCATTATTGCCACAAGTTCATGGATCTTATTCCCTAAACTACGAGCATTTGTAGATATTACTCTAAGCTTTTTTAAAAACATTATTTTAGCACACTTACTACGGGCTCTTTCTGTTCTTGTTTTTAAACAATTATCACCCTTTTGCCCCAACCCCCAAAAACCTGAACTGCTCACTGAGAACATTGATGTTCCAGGAAGGATAAGCCAAATGTCAAATGATTTAGGTAAACAAGAAAAATGGTCAGAGTTGTGGCAACTGACATTTAATGTGGATAAGTACAAGATAATGCAAGGGCATGGGCGTCCGCAGGGGGGGCAAGGGGGGGCACTTGCCCCCCCCCTGGATTTTTCAGCTTGTTCTGCTATTTTTCGTATGAGTGAAAATGAACTGCAATACCGGCGCCGGCCAGTAGGTGGCGCTGTGTATGGAGAGAGACAGGGATAGGAAGCTGCATCTTATCCCTGCTTCTCTCTGCTGATTGAAACCGCAGGGGAGCAACACATGCAGCCAGAGACAACCTACAGATCAGGTAAGTGAGGGATGGGGGGCAGAGACAGCCTACAGATCAGGTAAGTGGGAGATGGGGGGAGGGTTTGAGAGGGGGGCAGCCTATGATTGGGGGGGGCAGCAGCAGCAGATACATTTGGGGCAGCAGCCCATAGATTTAGGGGCAGCAGCCCATAGATTGGTGGGGGGGGTGCAGCAGATAGATTTGGGAGGGGGCAGCAGCCTATAGACGGGGCAGCCCATAGATTTAGGGGCAGCAGTTTTAGATTTGGGGGCAGCAGCCCATAGATTTAGGGGGGGCAGCCCATAGATTTGGGGGGGCAGCACCCCATACATTTGGGGAGGGGGGCAGCAGCCTATAGATTTGAAGGCAGCAGCAGCCTATAGATTTGGGGGCAGCAGCCCATAGATTTGGGGGGGGGAGGGCAGCAGCCTTTAGATTTGGGGGGGCAGCAGCCCATAGATTTGGGGAGGGGGGCAGCAGCCCATAGATTTGGGCAGCAAGTCTATAGATTTGGGGCAGCAGCTCATAGATTTGGGGAGGCAGCAGCCCATAGATTTGGGCAGCCTTAGATTTGGGGCAGCAGCCCATGATTTGGGAGGCAGCAGCCTATAGATCGGGGCAGCAGCCCATAGATTTGGGGCAGCAGTTCATAGATTTGGGGGAGGGGGCAGCAGCCCATAGATTTGGGGGGGCAGCAGCCTTTAGATTTGGGGGCAGCAGCCCATAGATTTGGGGAGGGGGGCAGCAGCCCATAGATTTGGGGGGGCAGCAGCCTATAGATATATAGAAATGAACAGGAAGGGTCAGCAAGGAGCTTGAAGGTAAAGCAGCACAAAGGTAAAGTAGAAGGAGCAGAAAGTGTCAGAAATGAGCTGGAAGGGGCAGAAGGAGCACAAACATAAAGTAGGAGAATGAGCAGGAAGGGCCTGCAAGGAGCAGGAAGGAGCAGAAAGGGTCAGAAATGAGCTGGAAGGGGCAGAAGGAGCACAAACATAAAGTAGGAGAATGAGCAGGAAGGGCCTGCAAGGAGCAGGAAGGAGCACAAGGGACAGCAAGGAGCACAAAGGTAAAGGAGCAGAAAGAATCAGAAGGAGCACAAAGGTAAAGTAGGAGAAAGAGCAGAAAGGGACAGCAAGGAGCACAAAGGTAAAGTAGAAAAGGGAGCAGAAAGGGTCTGCAAGGAGCAGAAAAGGATCAGAATGAGAAAGGAGCAGAAGGGCGCAAAATAAGCAGAAAGGTAAAAGAGCAGAAGGGGCCAAGGATAGAAAACAGTGTCAGAAGAAAAAAAAAAGACTGTCAAATGAAGGAGAGGAAAAGGAGATTGGAGCAGGAAGGACAAATGAAATGAACCCTCCACTTTATTCTGGACACCACATCATAAGGCTTTGGTACCTGGGCCAGGCAGGGAAACGCTGGACCTTCTCATCTCCAAAGGTAAAAAATATCAGTATTAATGTGTTCACTTTTATTTACTGAGTGTCAGGAAGCACAGAGTGCCGTTGGGTAGGGGTGTTGCTGATTGGCTAGAGCGGCCAGCTGGCACTCTAAGCCAATCAGTAGCTCCCCATTCATAAAAAAGTAAAAATATTTTATGAACCGGGAACTAGCGATTGGCTTAGAGCGTCAACTGACCACTCTAGCCAATCAGCGGCACCCATGCCTGACGCCAATCTGCACTTCCTGACACTCTGTTTCAGAAGCCAAATACCACTGAGCGACCTGGAGCTGGAGGAAGCCTTTGGGGTTAAACCATTTGAGAGCGATTTAACCCCTTAAAGGAAAGCGAGCACCCAGGGGCTTCCTGGCATCATAGCATTTTCATTTAGGTGAAGTTGTTATGGTGACCAGAAATGTCCTTTAATTTGCTTAAAGGAACACTATAGTGTCAGGAATACAAACATATATTCCTGACACCATAGTTGTGAAAACGCTATTCACCCTGGCTTTATGTGATAATGGCTATGCCCCTTCCCTTTCATGACACTGTCAAAAAGGTACCAAGCATGGATGTCATTACAATTATGCCCCCCCCTGGAAAAATTCCTGCGGACGCCCATGTGCAAGGGCAGAGTATAGAATAGTTGATAGAGTCCTAACCTCAATATCCGAGGAAAGGGATTTAGGGGTGATTATTTCTGATGACTTAAAGGTAGGCAGACAATGTAATAGAGCAGCAGGAAATGCTAGCAGAATGCTTGGTTGTATGGGGAGAGGTATTAGCAGTAGAAAGAGGGAAGTGCTACTACAGGGAGTGCAGAATTATTAGGCAAGTTGTATTTTTGAGGATTAATTTTATTATTGAACAACAACCATGTTCTTAATGAACCCAAAAAACTCATTAATATCAAAGCTGAATATTTTTGGAAGTAGTTTTTAGTTTGTTTTTAGTTATAGCTATGTTAGGGGGATATCTGTGTGTGCAGGTGACTATTACTGTGCATAATTATTAGGCAACTTAACAAAAAACAAATATATACCCATTTCAATTATTTATTATTACCAGTGAAACCAATATAACATCTCAACATTCACAAATATACATTTCTGACATTCAAAAACAAAACAAAAACAAATCAGTGACCAATATAGCCACCTTTCTTTGCAAGGACACTCAAAAGCCTGCCATCCATGGATTCTGTCAGTGTTTTGATCTGTTCACCATCAACATTGCGTGCAGCAGCAACCACAGCCTCCCAGACACTGTTCAGAGAGGTGTACTGTTTTCCCTCCTTGTAAATCTCACATTTGATGATGGACCACAGGTTCTCAATGGGGTTCAGATCAGGTGAACAAGGAGGCCATGTCATTAGATTTTCTTCTTTTATACCCTTTCTTGCCAGCCACGCTGTGGAGTACTTGGACGCGTGTGATGGAGCATTGTCCTGCATGAAAATCATGTTTTTCTTGAAGGATGCAGACTTCATCCTGTACCACTGCTTGAAGAAGGTGTCTTCCAGGAACTGGCAGTAGGACTGGGAGTTGAGCTTGACTCCATCCTCAACCCGAAAAGGCCCCACAAGCTCATCTTTGATGATACCAGCCCAAACCAGTACTCCACCTCCACCTTGCTGGCGTCTGAGTCGGACTGGAGCACTCTGCCCTTGACCAATCCAGCCACGGGCCCATCCATCTGGCCCATCAAGACTCACTCTCATTTCATCAGTCCATAAAACCTTAGAAAAATCAGTCTTGAGATATTTCTTGGCCCAGTCTTGACGTTTCAGCTTGTGTGTCTTGTTCAGTGGTGGTCGTCTTTCAGCCTTTCTTACCTTGGCCATGTCTCTGAGTATTGCACACCTTGTGCTTTTGGGCACTCCAGTGATGTTGCAGCTCTGAAATATGGCCAAACTGGTGGCAAGTGGCATCGTGGCAGCTGCACGCTTGACTTTTCTCAGTTCATGGGCAGTTATTTTGCGCCTTGGTTTTTCCACACGCTTCTTGCGACCCTGTTGACTATTTTGAATGAAACGCTTGATTGTTCGATGATCACGCTTCAGAAGCTTTGCAATTTTAAGAGTGCTGCATCCCTCTGCAAGATATCTCACTATTTTTGACTTTTCTGAGCCTGTCAAGTCCTTCTTTTGACCCATTTTGCCAAAGGAAAGGAAGTTGCCTAATAATTATGCACACCTGATATAGGGTGTTGATGTCATTAGACCACACCCCTTCTCATTACAGAGATGCACATCACCTAATATGCTTAATTGGTAGTAGGCTTTCGAGCCTATACAGCTTGGAGTAAGACAACATGCATAAAGAGGATGATGTGGTCAAAATACTCATTTGCCTAAAAATTCTGCACTCCCTGTATATTTAAAAGAAGAACTACCACAACAAGAGAACATAGTCCTAAATTAGAGGGGCAAAGGTTGGAAAATAATAAAGTATTACTTTACTGTGAGGGTAGTGAATGCATGGAACAGCCTTCCAGCTAAAGTGGCATAGATTAAAAAAGTGAAGGAGTTTAAGCATGCGTGGGATAGGCATAAGGCTATCCTAACTATAAAATAAGGCCAGAGACCTAATGAGAGTATTTAGAAAACTGGGCAGACTAGATGGGCCGAATGGTTCTTATCTGCCGTCACATTCTATGTTCCCTTGAGAAGGATACAAACCTTCTGTTTTGTACAGTTCATTTTTACTCCAAACTGATCACTCGATCTTTTAAATGCCTATTATAATTCAGCTCTGAACTGTAGTGGCACAGCAATAAATGGTATGCAGCCAAACACAAAGACCAGGTTCTCCTCTTACTCCTCTTAATGGTAACTTCCAAAAACTGCTCAAATTTACAAGGTAGGCAGATTTATTGAAATAATAAAAACTTACAGAACAAACAAACACATACATAGGGCACAATGACTGATAATGGTCTTCCTCAGTTTCATAATGTCCCCCAAACTGCTGCCTTCGCAGCCCTATTTTAATTACCTTTCACCCTGTAGCCCATGAGGTGAAGGCAGGAGTATAGACTACTTGTCAAGCCCTTACCGGGTAATGTTGGGGTCGCTAATATTTACCAGCTAGCATTATTAACAACAGTTTAGAGTAGATATATACTCACAACAGTGGAAACAAGCCCTTTATTTGTGAATATTGTTTGTAACTATTTTGACTACATAACTTGATGTAAACTGATTATGTAAAATTACGTACAAAGCTTAAGTATAATTGTCTTAGAAAACAGATAGAAAAAGAAAAAATTGTTTAGTTTAGATTCAGTTTTAAAAGTCTGATTTGAAACAACTTAAATGTAAATGTCCCATTATCCCTATACATTTGAGTTGCCAAAATGTAACACTTTAAATTACATAGTTTTTAACATTTGATTTTTGCTGTTGATCCAAAAGAAGGCAAAAAAAAAACAAAAACAATCTGAGGCACTTCCAATTGTGCAACAAACTAGTAAAATATTCATTCTTTACCCCAGAATGGAAGTCAGATATCTCCTTGGATAAATAAGCTAATACCCCACTAAATATAATGTATATCCCTGTATATTATGGTTTTGCATGTATTTATCCAGTTGCTGTTTAGGCATCTGCACAGACGCTGATAAAACCACATCTTCAGGCAGAGAATGCTACATCCCGTATTTACTATGCATACACACACAGCATCTCTTACAGACACATACACCGCATCCTTGTGGATGGACTCAGGGGTTGGCCCTGTGGACAGACTCAAGGGCAGGCCCTGGGGTCCCAGGCCTTGATCTCCTACAATTTCTGGTGGCAGCCCTGCTGCCAGTAGACATACCTCCTGCAGCTTTTTAGGTATAGACATACCTCCTGCAGCTTTTAGTTGACAGAAGAACTGAGCTGTGAAACAAGCCCTTAATGCTCAAGGCGTGGATCCAAATGCCTACCATCTCCCCTTGCCAGTAATCATTTAATAACTTAATAATAAGAACAATCTGTGTACAGAATTAGCACATTTTTGAATTGTTCTACAAAAGTTTTAAGCTGTAAGCTTCAAGCTAAGTAATATTGTAAAGTAAAGTATTGTTGTAACACATTTCCAACCTTTTCATCTTGAAGAAAATATGTTCACGATTCTTATAACAGCATTCCATGATAAACAAAGCTTCTCGGAAAACAAAGGGTGGCTCTATTAATCATTAGATAATTCAGGTTAAAGGAACACTGTAATCACTAGAACAGCTTAATTTAGATTAAGTAATGCCCACATTTGTTCCACCCCTCCAAAGTTTCCCCCCAAAATTATTTGTTTATAAACTAGAAGGCTTCGAAGTGCTGCTTCAAGCCACACCTTCAAACCCTCCGGGTATTACAGACGGGACTGAACTTCCTAACTCTTATATTCTTGTGTTTATGTCATAGTTTACATAACAATGTCTATTCATAACCAATTGTTTAAAATTGGGTGAAAGTCACACCACTAAAAGCAAGTCAGCTATAAAGTCAAGTACTGCTGTTGCACCATGGGTTTATATCAGGTACATTTAAAATAAAAAAAAAAATAAAAAACTGACTTTTAAAACCACAGATTGAAAAGAGATAACTACCTACAACAAAATAAATACATTTGAGAAACCAAGAGGAGGCCGGGGTGACACAAAATATACCAGTAAATTAATACAGAACAAAGGGTAATAATAGGGTAGATTCATTTATTCATGCTATATCCAGCACATTGGCAAAATTTATTAAGGCTCGAAAAATCTTAATAACCCCTGGTGCGATTTACAAGCACGTTTACAGATCAGAGAAAGAAATGCAGGTAAGAAGCGTCTTCAAACAATGTCTTCAATTCTAGATCACAGTAGAGCAGTATGGAAAATAGAGGACAAAAAATTAAATATAGTGTAGTATTTAGGATGTTTGTGATCATAAAGTAAAATAAATTGCTCTTACAACTTTATGGAGCTTAGAATCAGCTTCACGTGGAAGGTACAATCCCAGTCTATGGATATGCTGATGGTCCTGTATTGGAAAATGTCTTTAGGCCAGTAGGCAACATTCAGTAGTCAACAGTAATGGGGATGTTCACATTCAGTGTGCCATATTGTGGCAGTAAAAGTACACCAGTGCATAAAAAGGAAAATAAAAACAGAAAATAGTGCTCTCTGTAATGCTTAAATAATAAAAAGATAAAATAAGTTATACTCATGAAGGAAGAGCAAATTAGGTTTTTCTCAGTCCTAAACAACATATGGTATGTTCCCCACCAAGAAATATAAAGTGGAACGTCCAGAAAACAAGAAAACAAAATAATAAAACCAATATATAACATAAAACACTCGTAAAACACTGTGTTTTGCCCACAGGAAGGCTTTTTCAGAGTTACAGTATTAAGGACATGTTCTGTTTAAATAACCTAAGACTAATCGGTCAGATGATGTTCTCAGTGATGTGACCCAAATTCAATTAACATAGAAATGTTAAATAATCCAAATTAAAATAGAAAACAGGGAAAGGGTATGAAAGTGCTACATAGTGTAAGAATTACTTTAAAATGAAGTTGCTGCTTTATATTGTTAGAACTGCTTTAAAACAGATCATTATTGGGGGTTCAGATACAATCTTATCCCCAGAACCCCTGAAATATCAAAGTCATTTCTTCTTAAATGTGGAAAATAATTTAAATCAGTAATTAATATTTTTTTTAATGCGTTTATCTATGATTTATGGACCCTATGAGGATATGGCTTACAACTAATCATTACATTGAAGACCATTTTATTTTCAGTTATTTATATAAATGAAAGATGCCGTCCCACAAAAAATGTGGTAGATTTGTGCAAGCACATTATGTGCAGTATGTTGGAATATATGGTTTTAAGCAAGTAGACCAGCAAATCTATCTCTTTTCAGGGTCCATTAACGAATATTATTATATTGAATTACCATATTTCCTCAAGCAATTCTATTTACCAGAATAAAAGTACTCCTTCAGCCATTAATTACTAATCAAAATAGCTGTGCACATTAACTACAGATGTATGTGACATAAAGATAGGTGCTGTACTTCAAATTTTACATATTCTCGACATGCAGTTGTGCTCCACCATCCTAAGGTCCTCTGAGTGACCCGAATGGATGACTAAATCTTTTCTACTCCTTCCCTCTGGTTTGGTTTATCCCCAAGCTCTATTCTATCTGATAGTGGCCCCAAACCTACATGCACAGACCCCCTCTTCAATTTGATTAGTGGACATTATTGTGGGAATATTATTTATATTCAATCCTAATCTGTGGTGTCTGTCCAATCATCGGCACTTCCCCTTTGCAAGCTTGATGTGTCCTGCTGATGGCAAAATGCTGATGAAGTATAAACGGAGAGCACACTGGTTCCTCTCATGTTCTATTAATACAGTGTGTTGCCACTGGCTAAGTTTACACTTCGTTACCATGGTGATGTCACATGACCTTGGACTAACAAATCAGCTATGGGGTGGGCAATTTAAATACCCCATCTCACTATTGCGTTTTGACTCCTGATGCATGTCATGTACCTCACAAAATTATAAAGTATCCCATTCACTATATGTCCAAACAAAAATTATATCCAAATTCCTATTCCTTATGTTACTTGCCCTTGCAAATGATGTGAAGTTTAACCCTGGTCCCCCAGCTAATGCTACTCCTAATCTCCCCACTAAAAAAGGCCTCTCTTTTGTGCATCCATTTTGACATAGCCCAACTACTGGGTGAAACTGTAGCTCAAAACCAAAAAAGTGAAATGTTGGTTTTTGGAGATTTTAATATTGATTGGCCGAATCCTAAAAATAATAAATCATGTACGTTGTTTAAGACTTTCCAGCTAACACAATTCATTTCCTCCCCAACTCGCATTAATATTAAAAGCCAGAACCATACCTTGCTCGATTGCATTCTCCCCAGTTGTCCTGACAGAATCCAGGAGGCGGGCGTTCTCTCTAACAGATTCAGTGACCAAAATAAAGGCCAGGTCTTTCAAAAAATTTAATCTTGAATCCTTTTTAAGTGATCTCAAAATACAATGGCACAGATTAGGTCTAATACCAGATCTAGACTCTGCAATTGCATTTTTTCAGTCCGAGCTCTTCCGTGTTTGGAATTTGCATGCCCCTCTGCATAAAGTGCGACTAGAAGGGACACACCTGGGTATTTTGTTGGCTGTGCTACCACCCTGGTTTCTAAGATAACAAATGACACTCATTTTCAGACCACAAATAAAGATCAGGCCCTGCCAAATCTTCAAAATCCTCATATAGAGAAATTCAATTTTAGACCTGTGCCTGTTAGTGTCGTTAATAAACATCTTAATAATTTAAAAATGAAAAACCAGTGTGGACCAGATCAAATCCCAGCGATTGCTGAAACTCAGTGCGCCAGCAATTGCTAAACCTGTCACTACCCTTATCAATGAATCCTTGGTGTCAGGATACATACCCAAACTTTGGAAGACTGCAAAAGTTGTACCTATCCATAAAAGTCTACAACAAATGTGAGGAAGAGAGCGCATAAAATAATAGTTAAATATTGCTGGGTCTTTACAGATAGGCTGTTAGGTAAAACAGCTCACTAAGGATATATATCCATCTGGACAGTGACAACATGCAGAAAACTGTACCTAAGGTACACAATAATTACCAGCAGCTAAAACAGACAGAAAATGTCCCAATTTCTTAAGATACAATGTAAATAGATAATTTCAGAGCTTAGTAGATAACCCCCTTTAAAGTCATGTAGGGGTATAAAAATATAAAACCAAAACTGTTATATCACAAGTAGTCTTTTTAGTAAAACTTAAATAGTCTTTTTGGTGAAACTTAAATAATGATGACCAAATAAATACGACCAGGAAGGTGAAGAATAGAATAGTAGATAATTACCACTATAGGAGGCGCAGACGTATATGATAGCCTTTTCATGTGAAGATTTTAAATATATTAAATATATTGGACACTGTCTTTTTAAATATAAAAATGCTCTTTGTAAATAATCCTTTTAAAAGAATCCTTCCTTTTTAAGAAAATTCTCTGTCTAAATACTCCCCAAACTGAACAGTGTATTGTCTACACATAATCCCATTGAACAGCAAAGGATCCATGTGTATAATAAACTAGGGGAGTGCATTTATAAATTGTACAAAGACAAAAACCTCAATATCGGGAAAGGGTTCAGTTTATCTTTCAACACATTCATTCATGACTATTACCGAGGGGAAATAGCAAAATCTCCTACATCGATCTAGAGAATAATACGAACACTCATTTTGAAATCCCCGTTTAGTCTAAAGCTGCACATAAAAAACCCTTATGAATATCGGCAATAACGAGATGGGAAGTTAGACAATCTAATGACAAGTATAACATCTAATGTGCCTATCAGTTTCTCTTATGATACAGTAATTTTATTTCAATTGGATACAAATGAATATCTGCAAAATGTATCGCTCTGGATATAATGTTAAAGGACCACTCTAGGCACTTCAGCTTAATGAAGTGGTCTGGGTGCCAGGTCCCTCTAGAATTGACTCTTTTTTTTTATAAACATAGCAGTTTCAGGGAAACTGCTATGTTTATAATAGGGTTAATCCAGCCTCTAAAGCCTCTAGTGGCTGTCTCATTGACAGCCGCTAGAGGCGTTTGCGTGCTTCTCACTGTGATTTTCACAGTGAGAAGACGCAAGCGTCCATAGGAAAGCATTATGAATGCTTTCCTATGAGACAGGCTGAATGTGCGCGCAGCTCCTGCCGCGCATGCGCATTCAGCCGAAGAGGAGGAGAGGAGGCGAAGAGGAAGAGGAGAGCTCCCTGCCCGGGGCTGGAAAAAAGGTAAGATTTGACCCTTTCCTCGCCATCCAGCCCAATGGGAGTGGGATCCTGAGGGTTTTCCTGGCACTATAGTGGTACTTTAAGGAGTAAGAACGAACTCAAAGGTATTTTTGTATATGTAATAACATCAAGACAACAGAGAAATCTTAGAAATAGTTTATCACAGATTATTCAAGTTTCTCCATATTTTATATGCATGATTAATACATTGTATGACTGGTTTAATAGTAATAGAAAATGCAGTGTATGATAAATACTAATAAGAAATCTGTATTAGACAATAATGCCAGTTTTCTATATATATCATCATTGCTGGAAGTAACTGTATATTATTGGTGTAAGCAATCACACATTTTATTATGCAGATATATTTTATCACATGGACATATGTCTTTAAGAATTTTTAAATTTGTTTGCCCGGCAAAGTATATAACCGCCAGGCTACGGCCACTGCACCTATCTTGATAAAGCCCTCAGAAGAAGGGCGAAACGCGTTGAAGGTGCTCGCTCTCAAGCTCTACAACCTGCTACCCCTGAAGGGGCTCCAGTGTTCAACAGGACTCAACCCCAGCGTTCTTCCACCCTAGATAATGGAGAGCCTGCCTTAGTGCATGAGGCAGATGCTGTCTTTTCTGGAGATCCGGGTGCTGGAGCATGGAAAGGTGTCAGTTTTGTAGAATAAACAAATAACACTGTATTTACTGATAAATGTGATAGATTACAAATTGTATCCAATACATTTTCATGTGAGCTGTGTGAGATATTGATTCTTGATGATTTTTGTTTGGGTTTTGCATGTAATGTATATGAAGAACCAGAAAGCTAAAAATATCTGTACCTAATTCTAATCAACTTGAACACTGATCAGAGGAAAAGAAGGAACTTGGCAGAGGTTATGGCAATATTTAAGTCTGCCAAAGCAAATACTGTACATACTGTACTTTACATCATGTAACATTGAGGATTGTAACTTGTAATTTCAAAACCTAATTTACATATCAGTCGATAGAAAACTTGTGTACACCCCCAAAAAAACACTTAGAAAGGCATGTTTTGGGTGCGTCCCTATTAGCCCTTTTTTCTAAATTAAAAAAAATAAAAATAATAATAAGTACATAACACAAAGCTATTAAAAATTAAAAAAAGCCCAGAATCACAAAAAAATATGAAAAAATTAAAACTGCAGCACCAAAATAATAAATGTACTGCTGCCCATAGAGGGCTCTGCACCAATACATTTATAAAGACCCGTGCCATGTCCACCTGAATATTGATATGGAATGGGACCCTTATAGTGACTGACGAATAACTTTTATTTATTTTACTTTTTAATGTGGCTTCTGGCTAGTCACCACCACATAATTTAATGCTTTCGCTGCTGAGGGTTTTTAACTTTTTGTTCATAGTCTGCTTGTGCAGATAGCACTGATTATTATTATTTGCTTGCATCAGCTCACATTGTTTGCTGCATGCAGAGCGTGGAGACACTGAATGCCAGTATTACACACTTTGCAACACTGGAGTAGGAAGTACCTCTTGTGGACGTCTGACCAGTGCCGGCCCTACCTGTAAGGCGGACTAGGCAGCTGCCTAGGGCACCCCTTGGGAAGGGGCTCCGCCAGGAGTGCCGGCCCCCCTCATGCTGCAGCCGCCCAAGCGCTCTGTAGAGAGCCTCAGGCGGTTGCAGCTTTGCCCGGGCGGTGCGTCCATGAGGGCGGACCGCACCGCCCGGGCGCAGCATGAGGAGAGGGGCTGACAGGAGGGAAGCGCTCAACGTTCAGCGCTCCCTCGTGTAACTCCCTCAGTTTTAGCGTGGCCGAGCCCTCTATTGGTCCACAGGTACAGGGAGCATCTGTCTCCTGTACCCGGCTGGACTAACAGGAGTGTGCACTTCCTGTTAGTCCGGCCGGGTACAGGAGACAAAAGCTCTCTGTACCCTTGGACCATACCATAGAGGGCCGGCAGCCACTTAAAAGGGGAGAAATTGACATGGGGGGAATGGACAGGGAGGGGGAAATGGACAGGTGGGGGAATGGACAGGTGGAGGGAATGGACAGGGGAGGGAAATGAATGGGGGTGGACAGGGAGGTGGGGAATGGACAGGTGGGGGGGAAATGGACGGGGAAATGGACGGGGGAAATGGGAGGGGAATTGACAGGGAGGGGAATTGATGGGGGTGAGAGTGGGGAGGGGAGAAGATTGACAGGGAGGGGAGAAGATGAGTGACAAGGGAGGGGGGAGAAGAGAGGGACAAACAGGGGAGAAGAGAGTGACAAGGGAGGAGGAGAAGAGAGGGACAAGGGGGGGAGAAGAGAGGGACAAGGGAGGGAGAGGGGGGGAAGAGATTGACATCCATCACACACACACACACAATGCACCCCTTACACACAAAGACAATGCACACACAGAAAAACACACAATGCATTACACACACAGACACACACACACAAGCAATGCAACCCTTACACACAATGCATCCCTTACACACACAGAAACACACAATGCATTCCTTACACACACTCAATGCACCCCTTACAGATGCACACACTCAATGCATCCCCTGTACATACACAGAAACACACCTTGCAGCCCTTACACATACAAACACAGATTCAAAAAAATAAATAAAGGGCCTTAAAAAAAATGGAGCTGCTTCCCATTCTACCAGAACATTTATTTTTGTGACCACAGTTACAAACAGCCTCCAGGGAGCCTGTTCTACACCAGACTAGTGGAGCCAGACTGCAGCTAGAGCCCATCATCATCCTCATCTGGTTGTAAGTAGGCAATCTAGTATATTATTCGTGGCACTAATCTCTTGTCCCCAGAACCACTTCAGCTTAATGTAGTGGTTCTGGTGTCCATAGCCTGTCCCTGCAGGCCTTTTAATGTAAACACGGCGGCACTGCAGCACTGGTGTTAGTTAACATGGCAGATCATATGGGTGGGGCATTGTGATGTCACATGGGGGGGGCGGCAAACTTTACTTTTGCCTAGGGCGGCAAAAATCCTTGCACCGGCCCTGCGTCTGATTGCAACTAAAGATGTTCTTAGGCAGTAATGTGAACACTGCGTTTTCTCTCAAAAGGCAGTGTTTTCAATACCTTGCTTGCAGGGATAGGCTATAGACACCAGAACCACTACATTAAGCTACAGTTTCTCTGGAACTGCAATATTTTACATTGCAGGATTAAGGGACCTGAGACACTGAACCGAGGCAACTGCTATGAAAGAACGTAGTCTGGGTGCATATAGTGTCCCTTTACTCTTTTGGTTTTTAACTAAATATTCACTATAATGCCAGTAATGTTATTAGCCTACTTAATGTTATTATGGGCTACAGAAATTACGAGTTTTATTAAAGGCAGGAGATATGTCTCGCGAGATCTGATCAATAAGAGCATTGCCGGAGGTCACCACGGCAATGCTCTGACTGGGTGTCACGAGATTGTCTGCAGCTCTGCACACTCCCTCCATCACCCCCTTCTCTCACATCATCACCCCCTCTCACTCTCACCATCACCCCCTCCCTCTCACCATGACCCCCCTCCCTCTTACCCCCTCTTACCATCACCTCCCATCACTCTCACCATCACCCCCTCACTCTCATCATCTACTCCCCTCTCTCTCACCATCACCATCACCCTCCTCCCTCACACCATCACCCCCACCTTCTCACCATCACCCCCTCCCTCACACCATTACCCCCCTGCCTCACACCATTACCCCCCTGCCTCACACCATCACCCCCTCCCTCACGGTATTACTCTTTTAAGACATAAAAGAGGAGTGGGCGGAGGGGGTTGTCCGCCCCTGGTGTCACTCACTAGGAGGGTGCCCTCACACCATGACCCCCCTCTCACCTTCCCCCTCCCTCAAACCATTACCCCCCTTCCCTCACACATCACCCTCTTCCTCACAGTATTACCCCCTCCCTCTCACCTTCACCCCTTCCCTCACACCATTATCCACTATACAAGCACACATACTGCATCCACTACACAAACACACTGCATTCACTATACAAACACACACTGCATACACTATACAAACACACTATATACACTATACAAACACACAGAGACACACACTTATACATATGTGTATGTGTATCTGTATGTGTGTTGGTATATGTGTATCTGTATGTGTCAGTGTGTGTATGTGTATCTGTATGTGTGTGTGTATATGTTTGTGTGTCTGTGTTTGTATCAGTGTGTCTGTATGTGTGTGTCTCTATCTGTATGTGTGTCTGTGCCTGTGTGTCTCTCTTTGTGTATTTGTATGTGTGTGTGTTTGTATCTGTGCGCCTATCTGTATGAGTGTCAATGTTTGTCTATATGTGTGTATGGCTGTGTTTCTATGTAACTGTATGTGTGTGCCTATGTGTATGTGTATGTGTGCCAGTGTGTGTATATGTGAGTATATGTGTGTATATGTGCACACATCTCAGCATTTCACCTACACTACACACAAATACAACCCTGCATCCAAATGTCAACACTACATAAAAACACACCACCATATTCAAAAACCTCACTACAGAAAAATGCACGCCTGCATTCAAATTCAAACACACCCGTACACTCACTCACACATGCTCCATACAAAAACAAGCTGTAATTCAAACACACAAACACTGCTCATTGCTAAATATATAAAAAAATACAAACACTGCTCAGTGATCAATACAAAATGTGTAGGTGTTTTTTTACATTTTTAACCTGGGAGGGGGGGGCAAATATAGGATGCACCCTGGGTGCCAAATGCTACAGGTACATCCCTGCATAAATGCCAAAATCATTTGGAAAGGTTTGCTGGGGGTTTCAATCTTGTACTTCCAAGTGTGTTGACATACTGAGCTGCTGTTATATTGTCCATCTTAAAATGGACACAACAGTTTGTTTTGTATTTCACAAAACTTTTTAGGGTGAAAGAATTCTAAATTTATTGGGCTCCATGCCACAACGAGCTCCTCAACCCAAGTGACTAGCATCTGATTCGATGGTGATATCGGGAAACAAACCGAATACAAATTTCCCATTCCATGATAGAATGTGATAAAAGCACCAAAGAAGTTCTTCATTGGTCTCTGGATTTAGGGAGAGTTTGTCTGTGTAATCCAGTGTCTCTCTCAAATGTTTTGCCTTGGAACGTTGATTAGCTTGATAATGAAGGGGTGCTGGGAAAATGGCTTGAATGGATGCTCAGAGCAGTCCTAATATTCTTGCAATGGGTTGGAGAGAAATTGTTTATTTAAAACTGAATAAATTTCCTTGCAAATGTTTTTTAATTTCCTTGTTTTGAGCGTTGAGCTTGTAAATCATAGCTACCCTTTGACTTAGGGTAGCTTCCTGGGAATTTACCATGAATCCCAAAACATCTACTTGATGAGAAGGGGTCAGAATGGATTTCTGTGTGTTTATAATAAAACCTAGACTCGTTAGTAAGGATAGAGTACAATTGATATGCTCGA